GTGTAAAAAGTCACACACGAGGGTAGACAACGTAAGTTTTTTTTGATGAGGGGATGGAGGTTAATATTGCTAGGGTGAATTTAGGTTGCTGGTTCCAAATATTCTAATCTTTTTTTAATATTAGCTATGGTTTGCGAATTTTTGCAAATTTAGGAACAATTTCGGTAGCTCGAATAGAAAAGCCATTATTTTCATTCACCGTGGAAAATTTTCGTTTGTGCAACTGAGTCTGGAAGCACTGAACACGCACAACTTCTAGAAACACTAATTAGTTTACTTATGTTTATGCATACAATATAAAAATTGCAAAAAAANTTTACTTATGTTTATGCATACAATATAAAAATTGCAAATATAGGAAGTTGACAGACATTTTTGTTCAACATGTTCTTATCTTTAAATAATATTTTTATAATCTGAACGATTTTCATCATATTATTATCATAAATCAGTTACAATAAGTCTCGCCTTCAATTTGGTAATTATTACGTACCGATCGAGTAATATTTACCAAAGTTATATCGAAAAACTTAGGTGGATCTCTAGTTTTTTCTACAAAAGTTTCCCTTCAATTGTATAAATAACTTTTAAATAAACGAACCGGATTACAGAAAAGTGTGCCAGGAAGTGGCTTTTTTCGTTCAAGCTGAAAGCAAAGCAATATCGTCTAATTGGAGAGTCCTCAAAAGGATTTCCCAGGATATGTTAAAGACTATTGCATTTACATACAGTCACTTATTCACATAACGGCACTAACTAAAATACATCTAAACATCTATAAACATCTAAATACTTATTTCACGTCCCCTACTTTCATATAACGTCCAATTAAGAATGTGCTTCTTCGGTGACTAATGAAACCATTCCGCTCCAATTTTCAAGATTGCATAAATTTACCTAAAATGGGCGTTTCTCACCCTAATTGTATTTTGTTAATATATCTACTTATGTATGTATGTGCCAGAGTTGGGCATTATTCGAATAAATTGTTATTTAGATAATTATTCGAATAAAATTTTATCCGTAATATAATTATTCGCAGATAACTCATTCACGAATAAATTATTCGTGAATAATATGCTTGCGAATAATTTATTCGTTATTTTAAATGATGAATAAAAACTCATTTTTAACACATTGAGCCACCTTTTACTTTTATTTCTATTGTGAAGGATTGTGAGTTAGGTGAATTCTGTTTACTATTTTATCAAGAATACTAGCCCATTCCCTCTGGTTTCGCGGCCCCTGATAAGATTTTTTGCTTTGGCNGGAAAATTTTCGTTTGTGCAACTGAGTCTGGAAGCACTGAACACGCACAACTTCTAGAAACACTAATTAGTTTACTTATGTTTATGCATACAATATAAAAATTGCAAAAAAATTGTTCAACATGTTCTTATCTTTAAATAATATTTTTATAATCTGAACGATTTTCATCATATTATTATCATAAATCAGTTACAATAAGTCTCGCCTTCAATTTGGTAATTATTACGTACCGATCGAGTAATATTTACCAAAGTTATATCGAAAAACTTAGGTGGATCTCTAGTTGTTTCTACAAAAGTTTCCCTTCAATTGTATAAATAACTTTTAAATAAACGAACCGGATTACAGAAAAGTGTGCCAGGAAGTGGCTTTTTTCGTTCAAGCTGAAAGCAAAGCAATATCGTCTAATTGGAGAGTCCTCAAAAGGATTTCCCAGGATATGTTAAAGACTATTGCATTTACATACAGTCACTTATTCACATAACGGCACTAACTAAAATACATCTAAACATCTATAAACATCTAAATACTTATTTCACGTCCCCTACTTTCATATAACGTCCAATTAAGAATGTGCTTCTTCGGTGACTAATGAAACCATTCCGNTTTTCTAAGCGGGCGTAACCTTCTTCTATGATCTTGCAACTACAACATTGGTCCGATGCGTCAACCTCTAGTCTTATGTCATATAGGCCAACAAAAGTCCTTATAAGGAAGCTGAAGAGCACAGATGTGCGTTTCTATTGTAGGAGAGCCAAAAATCCTCGATGTTTGGCCATTGATATACTAACAGTGGTTTTTCTTGGAAGGATGTGGTCGAAACTTTCCTTGCTGATTTGCCACTTTTAAAATATCCAAGAGCTGGTTTCCTTGAGTCTTACTGCTGCAGCAATGGCCGCCCGAGCAATTTCATCAAGCGGAGGTAGATGCAAGGTCGCATTTAGGGTGTATGATGATATAAACATAAAAACCNGAGGTAGATGCAAGGTCGCATTTAGGGTGTATGATGATATAAACATAAAACATAATTATAAGTGAAAAATCAGTTTTAATGGTATTAATTTGCAATTTCTGAGTGATTTTTGAGTTGAAGACTGCGTAAAAACTAATAAAATGAAGTGCCCTGTGTTACACTTCGACAGCCGTTAAGATGCGAGATGCGTAGATGATGCAAGTGTAGCGCTGTGACCAATCGCTGCATTTTGTGTACATAGGGCACGGTAAAGCCGTTCTCGAAATGTATCTTTATTATTATATTGACAGCATTGCATCACAATGACTTCGCTTCTGCTCCAAGCATCCTCATTTAGCAAGTTAACTAATCAATCCCGCTGAGATGCAGCCGCATCTTGCTGCATCAGCCTTAATTGCAAAGCAATAGAGTGCACTAAAACGTTTGCTGCAGCAGCTTGGATTGCAAAGCAGTCGAGTGCACTAAAACGTTCACTATTCTCTAATAGATTATGTGAAAATGCAATATTTTCGCATTTAGCAAAATTAAAACACGTTTTTCGCTGTAAAGTGAACTGTTTTGGCAGTTTCAAGTCGTTCTTCTTTTCGCTCTATTCTTTGTTTACTTGTAGTACACAAATGTCAACGGCCAGGACGGCGCAATCTTGTATTCTATCATTCTTGATAAAAACCAAAGTAGTTCAGACATATGGGGTTTCTAATGATTTCGACTGCAGCACCATTATGAATTGCAACCTGATTGTACAAAAAATAGGAATTTTCTAAATAACTCAACTGCAGCGCCACCTAGCGGGTCCATTTTTCGCATAAGTATTTTTCATCATGCAGGAAGAACACATTTTGAATTTGAACGAAATCGGTTCATAAATACGGCTTTTATAAATAACTCGGCTCCATCGCCATCAAGGAGTTTTCTAGTAGCCTTTAATAGGACTTTATGCGCAGGGAATAACCTCCGAAAATTTGACTTAAATCTATCCAGGGGTTTGAGCTAAATCGTAACAACGAAAACGGTTATCATTTTATACATAAATATATGTACATATCTATATACATAAATTACTTGTTTTATTATTATTTTATTCGTTATTCGAGTAATTAATGAAGATAATAATTATTCAAATAACGAATAAAATAATTTATCCGTCATTCGAATAATTTTTTTTTAATAAATCTTTAATAAAAAAAATTATTTATTATTTACGAATAACAAGAAAAACAATTTATTCATTTGTTATTCGTCATTCGAATAAATTTTGCCCAACTCTGGTATGTGCTTGAAACTACTATCATTTTATCAAACGATTCCTAATCTTGAACAAAACATGTTTGACTTCATTCACCACGATTTTGGAAAATTACCAAATCGGCGTGACCAAGTTCATGGTCCTTTTAATATTATATAAAAATCCGAAAACATAAAAATGTTTTGAAATAAATCTAGTCTCACTTTTTTACATTTTTCACTTGGTTGCTGTAGTAATGAAGAATTGAAAATTCATAAGGGAAAAGTATCGTTTTTGTAGTCTTATTGAAAAATGATATATGAAAGCGAGATACCCAATTTAATAATCATTAATTTGATACATCGTCCTGTTTATAAAAATTAACGCATTCCATAGATATTAAGAGCTAAAGTTTCATATTCAAAACTCACACACTTTGAATCGATTGCGCGGGCTAAAGATAAGTTTTAAATTAATCTATCGTGGCCAATAACAATTGGCTTAGACCTAAGACAACATAATATTACTATTATCAAATGCCTTTTATTTTCCCCCATACAAAATCGACCCAGCCTAATATACATATCGCACACCGTCTTCAAAAGAGTCACAACTCAAAATAATACGTTTATCAGAAAATGCGAAAAACTACCCTGACGGAAACAAGTGATTTTTTTCAAATCAACTAATTGAAAGACTACTTTAAAACAAATGCAATGAGTAAATGTTTCGAAGTTTGATACTCTCTTTACTCCAAAAAACAATTTGAGTCTTGGAAGTATGAAAAAGCCTCTGTGAAGTGCAGAACGCAAGCAAATTCAAAAGATACATACTGACTTTGAAGTGTGTAAACCAAATTCATTTTAAAGTAGTTGAAATTAAACGCAGAATAGGACAGTCGACTTGCTGCTTGCACATAATTCAAACTGAATATTTGAAAGCACATTTACGTGTCTGGCTGTAGCTGAGCGTTCAGAGATGCTTGATGTTACTTGTTAGCTTCCAGAACGTCCGGGTTCGAGTCCCAACAGAGGCAGCATGTGAAAATTATAATTTTTTTTGTCTTTTAAATATGAAAACGCATTTGTGAAGTTAATTAATTAATTAAGCGTATTCAAACGAAACATACTGACTTTGAAGTTGTTTAAGCCAAATGCATTTTAAAGTAGTTGAAAATACATGCAAGAAAAGGCAATTGCTTCCTAGGACATCGCCATGTTAAATAAATGAGTTCGTTGCAGGTAAAATAGTGAGAATTTCAATTAGTTATCATTGAAAATAAAGTAGTTTATAAATTACTTTCAAACTAATTAAATTTCCTGCAGGGTATTTCTTAGCACATGATAATCATATGGGCAAGGGCGACTTTACCTTGGTTTTTTTTTAACAAATTATAACAAAAATTTGCTCCAGCTTTTGCTGAAAGGTAAATAAAAGCTCTGCGTACATTTTTGGCGCATAATCTCAAAAATGCCAAATTTGAAGTTTTGACTCTTGTGAAGACGGTGTGTAATATATACAAGAATTGCTCGATTAATGTAATAAGATAAGTCTGTACGTTTATTGCTGAAAATGTGTATCATTTGATAAAGAAGCTAAACTTTATGTGAAATGTCTTTTTATCGGCGATATCTATATCTTTTGAAATGAAACCAAAGTTGGAAAATGTTATTGTGAAACTGGCAACGAAAGCCCCGTTTATAGCTGAATTCCCATTCTCGATGTACTATTTTAAAGGCAATATCCTCATATGGTGGCCCTGCATGAAACCGTAGCACAGCAAAATCTGGATTATCGTCGCATTGACTCTGAAAAGAAAAAAAGAGAATCAATTTTACAAAACATGTATTTTAATTGTTAAGTTAGATTAAAAATCTATACTGCATAGTATATTACATAGTATAGTATGTAGTATATCAATGAAGAAATTTAAAAACAGATTTTGTTTAAGTCCCAAAACCCAAATAAAACGCACTTTGTTTTAGTTGGAAAACAATAAGTAAAAAAACAACCTTTATTGCCTTGCTTTCTTAATCAACTAGGTTGATAACTATTCCTTGCACACCTACACGCACAATCACGACTAGCTCAGTACACGTTTCACAATACAATGCGCAAAAATAGCACGTATCGACCATTCACCACAGATTGTTGCCAGATCAATATTATCCTCATCACATAACTTCGTATGAAGCTTTGTTCATACGGAACACTGCCCCGTTGAGCTTGCTCAATTTGGTTCCATCTAGCCCTCACTATTATTCAGTATTAGCACTCGTATCGACCGGTAAGACGCAAATCTTTTGTATTGGCCGAGCTAGCTCGTTAGTAGCTATTCACACAACCAAGTTGCGCACTAGCCCATCCTTGCTCATTATCAGCTCACTAGCCCTTCCTAAAGCCCAAGCGGATGGTGGAAAGTTTTCACTCTTGATGACTAGCTGGCCGATCTTTAGGCTTTATTGCTCCTTGCGCCACCTCTTCCTCTCCAGCAAGGTTGTAAGATACTCATTTCGCCAACGTTGCCATATATGAGTTACCATAGTCTCTCTTTCTTGCCATAGCTTCCGCCCTTTGGTGCCTGGTTGTGGCGCTATATCGAAAGGAGGAGGGAGAGCCAGCGGTTCTCCCACCAGAAAATGGCCAGGCGTTAGGGCTTGCACGTCCAAAGGATCATCGCTCAATGGATATAGCGGGCGCGAATTCAAAATTGCTTCTATCTGTGCTAGAAGCGTTAGAAATTGCTCATATTCCCGGCACTTTTGCCCTATAACACGCGTTAAATGATGTTTCATTGACTTTACGGCCGCCTCGTAAATACCACCTTGATGCGGTGCAGCTGGGGTCATAAAATGCCATTCAGTCCCCTTCAGCACTAGCTCAGAAAACATATCACTAGCTCTCCAGCGCTCATAAGCTCTAGCGATATCCTTTGAAGCACCAACAAATGATGTCCCATTGTCGCTGTACATCCTCTCACATCTACCGCGCCTTGCAATGAATCGCTCATAACAAGCTATAAAGGCTCTAGCACTCAGATCAGTGACCATATCAGTATGCACAGTTTTTGTTTTCAGGCACACAAATATGGCTACCCAGCTCTTCCGTTTTACTACGCAACGCCCATTTTTATCTAGCTGTCTGATTTCAAAGATAGAAACGACGTTTGGTATTGTTGTGCTTGGGCCATACATTGAGCCAATGAACTATGAGACTGGGACTGCTTTCTCCACTATAGGTTGCATTAGTCTTGAAGAGCTAGATAAGAAAGTACAGCGATTGTGGGAAATGGATCACGTCCGTGACTCACCAATCCGAACAAAAGAGCAAGAGATTGTTGAGCAGATGTTTATAGATACGTATTACCGGGATGATTTTGGACGCTTTGTGGTGACAATCCCCATAAAAAGTGCTAGTAGATTAGGAAGCTCCCGTTCAATTGCATTAAAACAGTTTTTCTATTTGGAAAAGAGATTAGCTAGGGAACCCGAAATTGCTCGGAAATTTATAGATTTTATGCGCGAGTATGAGCGACTTGGACACATGAAAGAGGCTCAGAATAGTCCGCCTCCTAGTGAGCTAGTGTACTATATTCCACACCATTGTGTGCTTAAGAAATTTCGTGTTGTATTCAACGCTAGTTGCAAGACCGATCAGGAGTTTCTCTAAATGAAGTTCAAATGCTTGGTGAGAAGTTGCAGCGTGATCTCCCCGACATTATAATGCGTTTTAGGCGGCATAAAATTGGAATAAGCTGTGAGTGAAAATGATTTTCAGACAAATACGAATTATTGAGAGCCAGTATGACTTACAGCGGATATTTTGGCGGGAGAGTCCCAGAGAAAAGTTGCGTGAATACTGCTTAACAGTGGTTACATATGGGATGACTGCATCAGCACATTTAGCAGTGCGTTGCTTAATTCAGGCAGCTAGGGATCAGTTGGAATATTTTCCATCAGCAGCTAGAGCTATTATTGATGATTTTTATATGGATGATGGAATTACAGGGGCAAGTAATGATGACGAAGCGATCAGATTAGCTAGAGAAATGAGATTCGTGCTAGGTAGTGCTGGTATGGAACTATGTAAGTGGCAGTCCAATAGCAAAGTGCTGTAAATGCTTTCCAATCAAAGAACCGAATACATTGTTGCTGTCCGATAATGCGGATACATCGGTGCTAGGCTTGAAGTGGCATACTGATAGCGACGAATTTACATTTGTGGTGAAGACGCCAGAGGTACCTGTGGTGATTAGCAAGCGAATTGTTCTAAGTTGTGTTGCACAACTTTATGATCCAAATGGTTATATAACACCAGTTACATTTATTGGAAAAATAATAGTGCAAGATTTGTGGAGACTGAGCATGGGATGGGACGAGCAGGTTCCTCAGAGCATTAAAGATAGATGGCTAGAATTCTGGAAAGATATTTCGGAGCTAGAAAGATTCAAGTTACCTCGATATATTCGTGTATCAAAGATGAACTATTCAGTTGCATGGATTTGCGGATGCATCAGAAAGGCTTCGGGGCAGTGATTTATGTGCGAGTTGTGTCCAGTCTGGGAATGATAAGTTCTGAGTTGCTAATTTCCAAGGCTAGGGTTGCGCCATTGAAGACAATAACAATTCCTAAACTTGAGCTTGCTGCTGCTGAGCTTTTAGGTAGGTTATACTTGAGCGTTGTACGGAGCATGGAATGGCAGGCAGTAGACTATGTGATGTGGTCGGATTCAACCATAGTCCTGCATTGGCTACGGAAATTGCCGTGCCAGATGAAGGTCTATGTAGCAAATAGGGTGGCGTCTATTCAGGCGAATACTGACATCAATAAATGGCGACATGTGAAAACAAGTGATAATCCAGCTGATCTTCTATACTAGGGGTATGAGCGCTAGTGGAATTGTGGGCCATCAATTATGGTTGCATGGTCCCAGTTGGCTTAGGCAACCAAGCAAGGAATGGCCAAAAGGTGGTTTTGGGTATGAGCATATACCTGAAGGAACCTTGCCGGAGCTGAAAGTGCATATTGCAGTTGAAGCAACTCCAACATGGAGCATTAAGAGCAATGGTAATGCGGAAAGTGTTCCGCTGGTACAATGTGCTAGTTCATTGGACAGATTAATTGGGATCATGTCGCAAGTGCTAAGATTTGTGCGTCTGTTGAGAGCAAAGGGTAATCGACAGCTTCGAAAGTCAAGCCGTGGAGACTTTCATATTCCGGTGCCTACTGCTGAAGAAAGGTCTAGGGCTTTAGAGCTGATGATTAAAGAAACGCAAGAGCTGGAATATCTAAGGGAGATTCGTGCCTTGTCCAGGGACACACCGATGCCTGAAGGAAGCAAAATTGAATCACTAAAGCCAACGTTAGACAGAAATGGCCTTCTCGCGTAGGTGGTAGAATCGGAAGAGCAGAATGTGATTATGAAATGAAGCATCCGGTAATTATTCCATCGGTTCCAGCTTGAGTCAGCTGATTATAAGTAAAGCGCATCAGGCCACTAAACATGGTGGCGCTCAGGTGATGATGCAATACATTCGACAGCGTTTTTGGATACCGCGCTTACGAAGTGAGCTTAGGAAATTCACGCATAAGTGCGTCACATGTGCTAGATATGCCAAAAGGTTAAGTGAGCAGCTGATGGCTGACTTGCCAGCGGATCGGTTGCAAGTCGGGAAACCATTTCTACACTCAGGTGTGGATTATGCGGGACCC